GTCGCGACCCACAATGTTGAGAACCGCTGCTCTAAACACTAAGAAGAGAATGAAAAGGGTCTTTTAAGTCCCCGGGAGTTTTTTCTGTGCATTTACTTGCATGGTTTTTTCTTCAGACATTTAAGTTATTTAACCCAAATCTACAATTAACCCTTGTACTTACATTCAAGATTTATAGCCTACTTTCCATAATTTAAAAATAGATTGAAAAGAGACAATTTCTCATTGGAATATACTTTACTTTCCAGAACTATATTATACTCTCTGAAAAGAGAGAGGTGAGCAGTATTATCACCATGCCAAAACATTTCTAACTTTATAATGATGTGGAGTAAATAATCTTTCTTACATGCATCTTTTATGCAATGCATTTATTTTGCAGAGTTGGGCATGTCTGTACTTGAGCCCTTATCTCACAGGCCTTCTTCACTAATTGCTTTGCTGTCTGCAGATGAGGACAGCCATCCACAGATAAAGAAGGGAGGCAGGAAGAGAGGATGGATTTTCAGGTGATGAATCCCTTGACTTGAAGCTTAACTCCAAAGCAAAAAGCAAAAACACTGATGAAATAACCTGTAAGGACAGTTTCCTGACAGAAAAGGCTTGGAGAGGAGCTCCCCGTGACTTTGAAGAGAGACAGGTTAAGGAGTATAGTTAGAGGCTAAGCCCTGGTACCTCTGTCTTACGGGAGAAGAAATCTGTGACTTGGAGGACAGAACTTAAGGAAGTGGTACGAGATGCACAGTAACCTGAACTGAGACATAAAATAATACCATAGGTAACTTAGGCTGCAGTAACAGAGCGCCCCACTCTCCCAGGTGCTTCAGAACCAGGTGGTTCTTTACTTATGCTATATATTCAATGACAATCAGCAAAGTGGCCCTGCTTACTGTATCATTCAGGGACCTGGGTGGCAGAGGCTTTGTATTAATATGCGCTTCCTCAATCAGGATCACAGTGAGAAGAGTGAGCTGGGGACTGGCTCTTAAATATCTTCCCCAGGGCCGGCTGA